CCTGGCCTGGCTCAGGTCCTCGGGCAGACGGTGGGGGCTCGTTCCTCGGCTCCCCCAGGACTCGCCTACCCCCTTTAAGGAGAGTTTGAGTGGAGTCAGTGTGAGAGGCTCCATCCTCGCTGCGGTCTCCTCTGCCCGAACGCAGTGGGGGTCGCGCCATTTGTTTCTTTAATTCCTGGAAGAAGGCGAGCCGGCCAGCTGTGCGGGGCAGGTAATTCCTAGGTGGCCCGGGAATTCCGGACACGCGGCCGGCGTAGCGAACATCCTGCCGGGGCTGCGGTAGCCGCGGGTTGGAGGTTTCCTGGGGACTGGATTGCAAAATGAATGGGGAGGGGAGGTGATCCCGCCCCCCCCCCACACACACACACGCCACCCTACACTTTGTTGCGGAGGGCTGGGGGAGGGGGGAGCGACTGGCTGCAGAAGGCATCGGGCCTGAAGCCGAAAGGGGAATGGAAACCTCTGTCTGCTACGTACATCGGAGATGATCCTGGGAGTCGGGGGAGAGCCCCCGCCGCGGGAGTGGAGCCTCTTCTCTCTCACCCCCGGAGGCTCAGCATTTTCTCCCCTCACCCCACCCCACGTCACCGCCACCCTTTTTCCTGGGGAAATTGAGTTTTACTTGGGTTGGAATCGGTTGGAAATTTCAGGGCGGGTTACAGTGGTTACCTTTCTCCTTAAGTTATTCTTTAAAGAGACGAGATAAAATGTGGAGAGCACCCTTTCTCCCACATTTGGAGTCCCGTGGGCGACTCCCTCAATCCAGGACCCCACCGTCCACCCACCCACCCACCCCCCAATAAAACCTCTCCCGGCCTGATGGGTTTCCACTAGGGAGGTCCTCCGCGTTGGCGAAGGAAGAGTGCCATTTCCAACCCAGACTCCTTTACCCCCCAAAAGACCATTTGTGATGCAAGTCGTTTTTAAATGTTTCCTGGTAGAAAAACTGAAAGTAGAAAGAAAGGAAGCAATTTTCGAGCAGATGTCTGACCACCCCTTCTCGCACACTCCCAAGCATCGAGTTACAGGGTCCTGGGGGCCCCCACCCACACTCTACGGCTCCACACGGGTGGACTCAGTCCCTCCACAGCAGCTTGCGCGCGACCCCTGACCGTCCCACGGCACCCCGGAGCCCCTCTCCCTGCTCGTCCAGGCCGGGGAAGGGAGGGAGGGGAGGGGAGCAACACAACACAATGATAGAGGAATAAATATTAAGCCGTGACATAGACGTGCCCGGCGCCTCCCCTCCCCCGCGCTCCCGGCACACTCTGGGCTGCTCGGCACGCCCCCTC